AACAAGTAAATATTAGGTACATTAAGATGCTGTGATTCTACAGAAGCTTATTTTAGAGAACAGCTGAAATAGAAAGGAGTAACAAGTAAATATTAGGTACATTAAGATGCTGTGATTCTACAGAAGCCTATGTTAGAGAACAGCTGAAATAGAAAGGAGTAACAAGTAAATATTAGGTACATTAAGGTGCTGTGGTTCTACAGAAGTTTATTTTAGAGAACAGCTGAAATAGAAAGGAGTAACAAGTAAATATTAGGTACATTAAGATGCTGTGATTCTACAGAAGCTTATGTTAGAGAACAACTGAAATAGAAAGGAGTAACAAGTAAATATTAGGTACATTAAGATGCTGTCGTTCTATAGAAGCTTATGTTAGAGAACAGCTGAAATAGAAAGGAGTAACAAGTAAATATTAGTTACATTAAGGTGCTGGGGCTGTTCAGAGGGTTATGTTAGAAAACAACTGAAATGAAGAGAAGAAACAAGTAAATATTAGGTGCATTTGGTTGTACAGAAGCTTACACTAGAGAACAGTTGAAATGGAGAGGAGTAACAGATAAATTTTAGATATGTTAAGATGCTGTGCCTTTTCCGTGAATTTTTAGACGACAGCTAATGTTTTCTGCTTCTGGTAATACCTCTTAGAAGACAAGTATTTAATAGTAGACGAAGAACTATGCAGTAGTAATGTGTATTTTTTATACAGTAGAGTTAACTGTATAATTTAAATCTTTTGTTTCTGTTTACCTTTTTTTTTCTGATGAATTACTAATGAGATAATAGGTTATGGAATGTACAGAAACTAAGGTTCTCTTTATAACCCTTTGGTTATGTGAAATAAGTATGGAATTTTGTTTGATCTGTTTCTAATATGAATAAGCAGGAAGTTTATACTTGTACTATGAATTACATAGCAAGCTGCTACATGATGTAATGGTTTCTTTCATGCAATGTAGGAATGTTCAGTTGGAAACTATATTTTTTCTCGTGTGTGTGTGTGTGAATATACAAATGTCTGCTATTTTTATATTTCTTTCTGTTTTATTAAATACTTTATTGGCATTAAGATTTCTATTCTTTGAAAAACATGATGTTTCAAACCTGTGATTAAGATAAGTAATGTGATTTAAATCTTTGAATAAAAGAAAAGAGCTTTGGTTTTAAATTGGGAAATACATGATTTTGCATTTATCAACTTTTGTAACACTGAGTATGAACTGTATAACATAATTGTTATTTTATATGTGAAATTCTATTTTAGTAAATTCACGTTTTAATGCTTCTCGAGTTATTACGAGTCAAGGTTTCTTGTTGTTATTAGTTTTAGTTGATGGTTTAAAAGTTCACAGTTGAAAGGAGTTTTTAAGAAAAGTTTACTAGTACAGGAAACGTTACATGGAATAAAAATATCATTGTAAAGTAATAAAATAATTTATAGTGCTTTGTAGTCGAAATATTTTACTTGTGTGTAGAGGATAGAAGAGTTAAAGAAGCTGTATGAATTCTTCAAGTATAATATTTAACAGTTTGTTTTTACTGATAGAAAATTGGAAAAACAACATTCATGGTGATGTATTGCTTGAATAAGGCTTGTACGAAGATTAATAATAGGTAGTTGATTGTATTATTTTCCTATCCTCACACATCTTGATTATTGTTGTAATTGAATAACATTAAAAAAAACTATTAAAAAATGGTTATCTTGAAATATCATTTTTCTCAATTGGGGCCAGGTGTTCCAGTTGTGATCCTATTAAGTACACTCCACAGTTTCAACTGTGACCACGTTATAAACGTGAAAGTTAATCCTATTATTTGATTCAAATAACTGTATTAAGCCCACGTTTTCCTGGCTAGTTGCCCTTCATCTGGGCAATGGATGGCTATACTTGGATCTCAGGGAGTCAGTTTAGCCCAGTGTGTTGCATTTCAGGTTGCAAATTTCAAGCTTCTGGGAGTGGGGAAGTAGACATATGGGCTTTTAGGGTGAAGATGTTTTAAAATAATTTCAAACAAAGTATTTGTAAGAATGCACAGTTCAATAAATCTAGTTCTACAGTGCTTGCAAAATGTACAGAACACAAGATAAAGTAAAGAGAAAGGCTTTTTAATCCCACTAAGAATTGGCAGTGGATGCTATTGACTGGCAAGTGTTCACCTTATATCAAGGAAAACGGGATGACTGTTCACCAGAAATTATCTGTAAATAAACCAGTTCATTTAAAAGTTTGTTAATTTTAATTTGTATAGAAAATAGCGTGCGGATGCTCGAGCTGAGCTCTGGTATTAACCCGTTTCAAGTTTAGCTTATTTTTTACTGTAAACCAAAGCTGTATTCACCAAATAAATATTTAAAATATATATTTTACTGACTAGATAGGTACAATTTACCGGAAGAAAGTACTACTAAGCTTGCTTGTCTTGTCCTGACATGAGTTCAAACATTAATGCATGGCGATGTGATTACAGTACAAACTAGATGGCAGTCTGTAGCGTGGTGTGCGTTCATCCGACACGCATCGTGGATAACATTCGGCTCTAAACAAAAACACGATAATGTGTCGGTCGTTATCAACGGAAACAGGCCATTTTTTGGCAGAACAGTTCGAAATAATATTCTACATATGTCCACCAAGTTTCATCAAAAGCTGATCCTTTTTTGACTGAGTTATAGAACAAAAAAAGTTTGAAAAATCGGCTCTCATTTTAACATATGGGGATTTTTTGGATTTTCCTAACATTGACCCTCCAAAAACTAACCACTTCTAAGTTAGGCCATAGTCAAATGTATACCAACTTTCGTCCAAATTCATTCGGCCGTTTTCAAGAAATCTTGCCGACAAAGACACACACATACAGGGGTGAAAACATAACTTTCGTCCATCTTTGGTGGCGGGGGCAATAACAAGCTTGAGTTGTCCACGTACGTTAGTTTATATTTCTCACGTTGTTACGGTACATTAGTTCACCCCTCTCGCGTTGTTAAGATATGTTATTCACGTTGTTAAGGTACGTTATTTCATGTTATTCACGTTGTTAAGGTACGTTAGTTCATGTTATTCACGTTGTTGTGGCACGTTAGTTCATATTATTCACGTTGTTATGGTACGTTAGTTCATGCTTCTCACGTTGTTCAGGTACGTTTAACTCGTGCCTCTTGCGTGAGGTATGTTAATTAATTAACTTAGAAAAGTTACTTGATGAAGTTTTTTGTGCTTGTTACAATGGACGTCTACCAGTAGAAAACAAAAGTCCTTCGTTAGTTAAGGAGTAAATCAAAACTCTACTCCTCCCTAGGACTACCAGTCTGAAACACAAGTCTAAATCTTTAACACCACTCTTCAAGAATTTTACAACACCATTAATACTTCTATCATCAAAAAAGACGATGTGGACTTTCTTAAAGCTGAAAGAATTCTCAACATCGCTGTCCCAGTTCTGTTCAGTATGATATTTGTCATTGGATTAATTGGTAACTGGTTTGTAGCCATCGTAGTCTTGCCCAAATGTGGTTCACCATCAATCTTCTGATCATAAACTTGGCAATTGAAGTTCTCTTATTTCTTATCTTCCATGTTCATTTTACAGCCTGGGACTACTCTCTTCCTTACTGACCACATGGTGTCGGATTGTTCAGTTCTTAGTGATTGTTTGTTCTTACCCTAGTATTTCTACTCTGATCCTCCTGTCATAAGACCGTGGATAAACTAGTATTTACACTCTGATCCTCCTGTCATAAGGCCGTTAATAAGCTAGTATTTCTACTCTGATCCTCCTGTCATAAGACCGTGGATAAACTAGTATTTACACTCTGATCCTCCTGTCATAAGGCCGTTAATAAGCTAGTATTTCTACTCTGATCCTAGTGTCATAAGGCCGTTGATAAACTAGTATTTACACTCTGATCCTCCTGTCATAAGGCCGTTGATAAACTAGTATTTCTACTCTGATCCTCCTGTCATAAGGCCGTTGATAAACTAGTATTTACACTCTGATCCTCCTGTCATAAGGCCGTTGATAAGCTAGTATTTCTACTCTGATCCTCCTGTCATAAGGCCGTTGATACACTAGTATTTACACTTTGATCCTCCTGTCATAAGGCCGTTAATAAGCTAGTATTTCTACTCTGATCCTCATGTCATAAGATCGTTGATAAACTAGTATTTACACTTTGATCCTCCTGTCAAAAGGCCGTTGATAAGCTAGTGTTTCTACTCTGATCCTCGTGTCATAAGATCGTTGATAAGCTAGTATTTGTACTACGTCATAAGACCGTTAATAAGCTAGTATTTATACTACGTCATAAGACTGTTAATAAGCTAGTATTTATACTGTGTCATAAGGCCATAGCTCATCCTATCACGCCAATTTCTGTCCGCACGGAGAAAAATGCCTACACTGATATCGCAGTAACTTAGTCCTGCATCATTTATGCTTATTTGCCTGTTCTGCTTACGCATGGTTATAAGCTACAGCCTACATGAAATATTCTGTGTGCGTGTTCCTGACGGTAGAGGGCTATAACCATGTCTCTATTCAGGTCTCTTTCTTCCTATGTCATGATAAGAGTGGTCCTTTATATATTTATGCTAAAACGTTGCGGTTTCTTTCAACACCAGGCACAAAGGTCGGCACTAAAAGTCGGAAGTCAAAGAAACGAGTCACAATAATATACTGCAACAGAATATACACTGAGTGGTCACAAGTAAATAGACACCTAATTTTTCGTCATTTAACTGATTTATG